CCTTGAGTGATAACTCCATGACTGAACTCCCCAGGGAGAATTTCCTCTGGGGGCTGGGGCTACTCCACCCTTGTTCAACTGCTCCCCCTGCTCCCCACCCAGAGGTCTCGGGAGCCACAAGGCCAAGGCCAGGCTGCAGGCAGGCCCTCCAGCTTGTTTCCATTCTGTGCAAACACTGCTTCCCTGAGTCTGGCTTCCTCTCACCCTGACGCTGTCAGCCCAAGATGCATCCACAGAGAACGGTCTCCTTGGCCCTTCCAGGAATCCAGGTGCCGAGCTGCTTCCCTCTGGGTCCAGGTCTGGGTGAGAGATGCTGGCCCATCCATCTTGTCTGGATAAGCTCAGGGTGGGGCAGGACTGGTACCTCCAGTGGGCCACTGTGAGTCCCTACAGCTGGGCCAGGAGCCAAAGGCCTGACCCAACAGGAAATGCTGAGACTGCAGGGGCCCCTCTGGGATGGCAGTGAACAGGGCAGGAAAAGCAAACAACTCCCCAGGAGGCCGGAGTCCACATCAAGTGCTCTGAGTGAGGGGTGAGAGGCGTGTCCAGGAAAACACAGGCAGCCAGCGACCACTGGGCGCCCAAGGCCACTCTTTCAACCCCAGCTCCCCCGCAGCTCCCCCAGCGAGAGCTCAGGCTGGCTGTGAGTGTACTGGCTGCAAAGTCTGCCAGGAAAGGCCAACCCTGCGGGCTCCAAGGGTCAGACAGGCCAAGCTCCAGCCCTGCGATTTACCAGCCCTGCCAGATTTTGGGTAAACCACTCCAACTCCAAGCCTCAGTTCCTAATCTGCAAATGGAAGTGATCAGCAGTCCCTGTCTCCGGGGCTGCTGTGCCCAGGAGATGACATAATGTGCAGGAAGCACTCAGTAGATGGCAGCCTACACTATCAGCATCGGCAGGATCAGGGGACTATGACCGTGTGGCCTCGGCCACTCAACGGCCCTGAGCCTCCCTTCCTGCCGGCCTCTGTCCCGCCCCCGGCGGCTGCCAGAATCAGAGCCCAGGTTCAGAGATTCCATTTCCATGCTGCTTGTGTTCTGTTCATTTTCATGGAGACACTGAAGCTCACCTTTCAGGCCCCACTCACCCGTCCTTCCATCCATCAGTACCCATCACCCATCAGCAGGCATGTCCTCGGCAGCTGCCTTGTGCCTGACACCACGCCAAGCCCTGAGAATGAAGACACAGCAGCAAGCTGCCCCCCTGGGGCTGGCCTGCAGGTGGGAAGACACTTCTTCATCCCTCTGCCATCACAGTACCTCAGTGCAGGCGACAGGGGCGGGCGCTGGCTTTTACTTTGCTCCCATTTCAAGAGAAGGGGCCTCCCCCAGAATCACACAGGCAGCTCTGAGTCCACTCTGCTTGGCTCCCCAGTTGGGATGCTCGGGACATCCCGACTGCTCAGAAACAACTCTCCCAAAAGCTAGAGAGCATCTGCTTGCAGGCAAAGGTCTTACTTTAATAAACATACAAATAATCGGATCATTAATATGGAGTTAACCACACAGCCCCATCATGAGCTAGAGTCTGAGATTCTGGGCTCAAACCTGCAGCCCCAGCGCATCCCTGCAGGGTAGCTTAGTGGTCGAGCAGGGTAGTCCACCCCTAAAACTCACCCCACAGTCCTTGGCATGACACCCCCCCAGCAATGCCAGGAGCTCTGTTTACCCCATAGCAGCCCAGCTTCCTCCTCTGGGCAGCCCAACCAAGCAGGCAAAGGGACCAGGAAATCCACATGCCTCAAAGCCAGAGACAGACCCAGCACCCCTGGACTTGAATTACACCGCCCGGCTGGCAGGTGGAATTCCCCCACCTGTGCAGACTCCTGGAGGTGGGGTAGCTGGTGGGTGAGAGCTGGACCAAACCCAGGCCCGTCGGATTCCCAGGGGACAGAGCCCAACCAGCTCCCTCTAAAACCAAATCTAAACCAGGGCCCAGAATAACAACAGTAAATATGTTTGGCGCAGCCAGTATGTGCCAGCCAGACTAAGCATGGGATAAATGTTAACTTCCGTACGCCTCACAGAGCCCTGCGAGAAAGGAGACTTATTATCTCCATTTTACTGATTAAGAAAGTGAGGCTCGGGACAGGAAGCCACATGCCCAGTGATACACAGCTAGTGACAGCAGGGCAAGGCTTGAAGCCAGCTCTGTGGCTCAGAGCCAGGGCTCCCAGACCCTCGAAGAGCCAGCCCCCAGCCCTCAGTTCACCTGCCAGGCTCCTGCCACCAGCTGGCGAGCGGGGGTGAGGACTGGCCCTGCCTCCTTCCCTCCAAGGGCCCTGGGAGGAGTGAGGCCACTTTGCCGCTGCAGCTCTGCCTGGATCTGGGCAGTTACTCTAGCTGTGCTGTGAGGACCTTCCCTGCAGGCCAGGTGGGCAGCCAGGCAAAGCCCAAGGCCATTTCCAAACCCTGGGCAGGTGAGCCACAGAGAAAATGCAGTAACAAGAGGTGAAATGTCCTCCACTTGAAGATTTGTGTGTTTTTTTAAAGCAGTGTTTGCTTAATGACTACCTTTAGGGAAGTTTAAAAAGAAAAGCAAGGGGTTTTTTCCTTTCTCTTGGGTAACAAGGAGGAGGAACATGATCTGGATGGATTCACCTCCCAGAGGACTCCGAGTGGAAAATCACCGGCCTGGGAAGAGGCTGGAACCAAAGCAAATGAAGACCTGGAAGGGAGGGATGAAGCTGGGAGAAAGGTGGAGAGCACTGGACAAGGAGTCAGGGGGCCGCTGGAGTGTGACCTTGGGCAGTCCTGCCCCTCAGTCTCCTTATTTGTAAAAGTAAGGGGCTGAACAGAGGCCTCTTAGGACTCCTGCTGTGATCAATGCTGGGCAGAGTCTCATGTCCCATGAATGTCTGTCCCCATTAAAGGAACCCAAGTGTGATCTCTATCCATGCCTGCTGTGGGTGAGACTCCAGTCGTGGCAATGCAGGCCCAGCCCAGGAGTCCAAGCCACTGGGCACACAGTCTCTGTCCCTCCAGCCCCAATGCATTGGAGCTATCCAAACTGGACAGGAGGTGGGAGCAGAAGTGAACACAATGTGTGTATTTCGTGCTTCCCATAATCAGTCTCATTTATTCCTCAGGATGCTTCAAGGTGCGTATTATTATTTCCATCTTACTCATGAGGAAACTGGGGCTCAGAGCAGTTCACAGGCAGCCCAAAGGCACCCAGCTCGTGAGGGGCTGAATGGGGATTTGAACTCCAGAGCTCTGGCCCTGGTGCCTCCTGGAGATGGTGTGCAAGGGAGCTGGGGTTGCTCCAGGGCAACTTATAGGACAAGGGGTAGTGCTGCGGAGTGGCGGGCGGAGGACTAAAGGACCAGGCCTCTTTCACAAACGCCTGGCCCACCCTGAGCTGTCCCGACCAGTGGGCTGATGAAAACAACTAGGCAGCAGCTCTGGGGACCACTGGGTCATAGCCTCAGCATGGCACCAGCCAGACACACAACCTGGCTGCAGTCATCAGGTCTCCAGGGCACGGCAAGCAGGTGGGCAGGGATAGGCCAGGCTGTGCTCCTGACCCCAAGGTAGGGAATGGAGTCTCTGGGAGGGTGGCCTGAAAGAACCAAGGGTGCTCGCTGCACACAGCCTGGCCTCTGCCCAGTAGCTTCCTCCATGTGGGTACTCCTTTCATTCCTCCCCTCTCCCACCAGTGAATTTACACTCTCTTGCTCAACCAAGACCCCCTCATGGCTTCCTTCGGGCCAGTGTCCCAGTTCCCTGGGCACCCTTCTCTGTCCCATTGTGAAGTGTCTGCCTTCCCTACCAGACTGGGAGTTTCAGGGCAGCTTCATTCCCAGCCTACCTGGAGGGCTGTCATCCTGGGAGATCACAGCTATCTCAGATCTCCCCAGTCCAGTAGTACAGGACTGCTGATTCATTGCAGGTCCCTGATCAGGGAGGAAAAGCCAGCTCCCACTTGGGGCCTTAATCACACAGGGTCCGCCCACTCCTAGTGACGAAAGAGCACATACAAGTGTAGACAGAGATTTGAATCCAGGACTGCCTTCTGCTCCAGGGGTCCAGGGCCACATCTGCATCATAGAGACCTCCAGTTGGGCAACACCTGCCTGAGAATTAGCCTTCCCCCCAACTCATACCTGGAAGACAAAGGAAGTCTCAAACATCCCTCCCTGGCCATAAACTCCAGGGCCTGGATGGACCACTAACACTTCCCTTAGAAGGGGACTCCCTAAGCACCCATGTCTCCAAAGCCAAGCAGTGAGCAGCAATAAGTGAAGCTCTGAGAGGCCTCAGTTTTTATGGCCCCAACCCCCAAATGTGCCGTGCAACCCCAGAGCTGACTTGCCCAAGACCCCAGAGGGAAGGGTAGCAAAAGTAACCGCTTTGACCGGGTGCCTGCTGTGATGCTGGGCCTCTTACCGAACAACGCGTTTTTCTAAGGAAGAAGCAGCGGCCCATGTTACAGATGAGAAAACCGAAGTCCAGAGGATTGTGACTTACACAAGGACCCACAGCCAGTGCTGGGGCCGAGTCAGACCCAGGCAGTCACCTCCAAATTCAGGCTTTTAACCACCAGGCTGCTGTGCCCCAGACAGGCTCCCATATAGAGAAGGACGGGTTCCCCGACAACAGTCACGGGAACGGTACTGGCAAAACAAACAGCGATGGCAAAGACAACGGGCCAGGCGTTGCACTGAACACCAGACAGCCGTCTAAGTCTCAGCCACGACCCAGCGAGGTGAGGACTTCACTGTTTCCATTTTGTGCATGAACAGACTTACATTTAAAGAATCCATAGGACTCCTTCAAGCCACACAGCTAGCAAGGCGCAGAGCCAGGGTTTGGAGTAACGTGGGTGAATTCTAGGGACTGATCTCTTCCCTCGGGTCCAGGGATCTCGAACTGCGCTCCTCCTTACCCAAAGGCCTGTCCTGAGCCATGTTGGCTGCAGCTCCACCTTTTCCCACACCACCTGCCCAGTCTCTCCTCGTTTTCCAGCCACCAAAAAAGAAGGAAGGAGGCTCACTTACTTTGTCTGGGGCAGTGCAGCCGCTGGGTCTGGGTCTGCGTCTGTGGAGAAGAACAGAGGGAGAGCCCGTCAGGCCGGAGGCTGCCGGTGGACTCCCCGGGGGTGCTAGAGATGGGGCCTGGCCAGCCTGGGCGCCTGCAGGGCCCGCCTCCCTTCTCCCAGCCTCTTCACTGTCATCAAGCTCCCTTACCTGTCCTGCGTGCACCGCCCCCACCCGCACCCCCATGGCCCACATCCCAACTCCAACCAGAACCAGCGGCCCTGCCTGCTCTAGGCCTGCCCCCCACCCCCAGCTCCTCAAGGAGTCCCTTGTCCCCAAGGCTGCAGGAAGTTCCTGCTAGTCCGGTCCCCAGTCTTTCCCAGATGACAAAATCAAGAGCCCAGAAGCTGCCATTTAACACCAGCCTTATCAGGGCCTTCCCGCCTCCAGGGCCACCCGCCCTCCAATCCCAACTAAAGGGAGGCTGCTCCTCTGGCTGATGTGATTCCCTGGGAGAAGCTA